AAAAGGTCTTAAAAAAAAAGAAAGAGAAAACCTAAAACAGTGTTTCTTTAAAAAAAAAAAAAAAAGGGTAATCAGGTTAAAACAAGGTCATTCAGGTGGGCCCTAATCCAGTGTGACTGGTGTCCTTCTAACGGGGAGCACACACAGAGGGAGGGGTCGTAAAGACACAGGGAGAAGACGGCCGTGTGATTGGAGGGTCGCATCTACAAGCACCAGGGTTAACAGCCAATACCGGGAGCTGGGAGAGGCAGGAAGGTCCCTCCCTGGGAGCCCCCAGGGGCCGCAGCCCTGGAGACTTCAGCCTCCAGCCTCAGTGCAGTAAGAGGAGGGGGCCGTGGCTTTAGGCCCCCCGGGTGACGGTACTCTGTCAAGGCTAACAGATCCAGTGTCAAAAACTCTTTGATTTGGGGGCTCTGGTGTCGCCACTGGGCAGAGACAGCTAACCAGCTGGTTAGTTAGGCTTGAGCTAGTGTGGATCTGCGTTCCGGCCCCTGGTACCAATGGCTAAGATGCTTCTCCATCCTGGGCCTCCGAGCATTCTGAGTGGAGCGGGGTCACAGCACCTCAGAAGGAGCACTTGTGCATGAAGGGCAAGGAATTGGTGACCTGGTGACCTGGTCGTAACCCACGACCTGGTGCTGAGGGCTCAAACCCGAACCCTCCTGGAAGCAGGGTCTTTTGGCACCCCAGGTCCACAGTCCTTGAAAGCCCTGCCCATCCCTCTCTGGATGGGCTGTGTCACGTCACGTTAATCATGCTGTGACTGTTCCGCTGAGCCGTGAACAGAGCCCAGGATACTAGCCTTTGACTGGGCTCCAAACGCAACCTGATTTTATCCTAAGAATACACTGAACCAAGGAGGTGAAAGGCCTGCACACTGAAAACTACAAGACATTGATGAAAGAAGTTGAAGAAGACACAAATAAATGGAAAAGTATCCATATGCTCATGGATTGGAAAAATGCTGTTAAAATGACCGTACTACCCAAAGCAATCTACAGATTGAGTACATCCCTATCAAAATGCCAATGACATTTTTCCTCAGAAATAGAACAACCAATCCTATAATTTGTATGGAACCACAAAGACCCCAGAGCAATCTTGAGAAAGAAGAACAAAGCTGGAGGCATCACACGCCCTGATTTCAAACTACATTGCAAAGCTACAAGAATCAAAACATATGGCATTGGCATAAAAACATTCCATAGATCAATGGAACAGAATACAGAACCCAGAAATAAACCCATGCACACATTGTCAATTAATTTACAACAAAGGAGCCAAGAATATACAATGAGGAAAAGATAGTCTCCTCAATAAATGGTGCTGGGAAAACCAGACAGCTCCATGCAAAAGAGTAAAACTGGACCACTATCTTACATGATACAGAAAAATTAACTCAAAATGGACTAAAGGTTTGAGCATAAGACCTGGAATCACAAAATTCCTAGAAGAAAACTTCCTCTCTGCAGCCTTCTCTACAAGCTGCTCCCCCAGGAGCGGCCGTGGGGAATTCAGATGCTCACAACCCCCATCTGCAGCTGCTTTACACACATCCACCAAGACAAGCCCATGAAACAGGGCGAGTCTCCTCATTGCCATCGCGCAAACTCCCCAAGCCGAGGACCAGCTTTTACAATTTCCACCCCCCAGCCCCCACTTTAGTGTAATGCAACAGAACGAGTGGCTTGAGAAATAAAGTCACATCCAAAACACAATCTCTTGTTACCATATTCATAAGGTTTCCCAGTCCCGTTGCCATCGAGGTTTCTTACATTGACCTAAGTTTTGGGGCCTTACGTCCCCCTTACTGGTAACACGCAGCTCATGGACCGGCCAGGCCAACAGGTCTGCTCGGCAGACGGTCCCCTCATGAGGCCTCAGTGGCCAGGCAGTGACACTTACCCTCATGCCCAGCTCGATGTTCTCCCCACCGTACACCTCCATGCCCGGGTCCAGCAGGCCGATGTCCCCAAAGTACTCCCGGTCCACCACAAAGGAGCAGCCGATCATGGCCGGGGTTCTGGAGGGAAGCAGACAGTGCATGAGCTGGTTGCTGGTGTGTGGCCCCGGATCTCCACAGCCTGGGTGGGCTCACCATTCTCTTTCCAAGTCCTCACACCTCATCCCTGCACTCCTCCCCTCCGCTTGGTCACTGTGCCCAGGGCTTGGGACACAGGCAGGGCTGCCTAGGACTTGTCTTTGCATCCCTCAGAGATGACAAAAACCAGTATTCAATTCAGGCAACTTAGGGGGCTTCCCTGGTGGCGCAGTGGTTGAGGGTCCGCCTGCCAATGCAGGGGACACGGGTTTGTGCCCCGGTCCGGGAAGATCCCACATGCCGCAGAGCAGCTGGGCCCGTGAGCCATGGCCGCTGAGCCTGCACGTCCAGAGCCCGTGCTCCACAACGGGAGAGGCCACAACAGTGAGAGGCCAGCGTACCGCAAAAAAACAAGAAAACAAAACAATTCAGGCAACTTAGTGTAAATTTTTAAAAATCTGTTTACCCAATGAGTTGTTTAGTTGCCCTGATCATCAGTCTCTTGCCTACCTCCTTCGTTATTTTATCTGTGTATCAGTAGTCAGGGTTGTAATGGGCAGTTGCACAGGCTGTGCACTGCTCAACTCTATGGAACCTCTTTAATATCAGAGTCTCTCTGAATGACACACCTTGAAGTTGTACAGTACACAACCTTTGCAGCTGTCTGCAAAAGACTGCCAACTGTACTATTATTCCTGTAATAATTCTATTTACAGCTACATATTTTTAAAATGTCAGTAAATCTTGCCTTGTCCCAAGCAATTGTATCTGTAAAATCATGTGTCAATGTGCTGGTTATAGTTTTTTCTAAAATGCATTAACAATCTATCAGTGTTGAGACCTCCACTGGTCTCATGGAGCAGCGGTGGTCAAAGCAGGACAGGGTGAGACAGAGTGGCAGAGAAACGTGGACGGTGTCACTGTGAATAGAACTGCACATTTGCTGACTCATTCATTCATTCATGATACATTCACATCATGAATGCAGGATATACTGAGTGCCTATTAGTTGGAGGGGATAAAAAAGAGAATGGAAAAATATCTTGCTAGCAAGAAGTAGGCACAGTCTCTGTTTTGTAAGAAAGCAGGACCTTCCAAGCTTTTGAAGGACGTGTTTCCCTCAAAACAAAGACACCTCCCTTGTAGGCTGAGGGCTTAGTTTCTTCCGAGCTCTGAGAGGACTAGTAAAGGCTCCTCACCAGGGCTTCCCTGGTGGCGCAGTGGTTAAGAATCCGCCTGCCAGTGCAGGGGACAAGGGTTTGATCCCTGCTCCAGGAAGATCCCACATGCTGCAGAGCACCTAAGCCCGCACCCCACGACTACCGAGCCTGCGCTCTAGAGCCCGCGAGCCACAACTACTGAAGCCCGCGAGCCACAACTACTGAAGCCCGCACGCCTAGAGCCCGTGCACCGCAACAAGAGAAGCCACCGCAGTGAGAAGCCCGCGCACCGCAAAGAAGATCCAACGCAGCCAAAAATAAATAAATAGAACAAATAAATTAAAAAACAAAAACAAAAAGGCTCCCCACTGTCCCCGAAGGCCCCTGTGGTCCTGGCAAGGCTGAAGGCTAAGGCTGTTTCCTGCTCCGTTCCCCCCGCTGTGCCCTCCCGCTGCTCCCACAGGTCTGAAGTCACTCATGAAAACGCCATGATAAATTTAAAAGAAGCATTTCTTTTAAATGTGACTAGGACATCAGAAGCAAATGCCCATGAGTTGTCCAAGAATAACAGAGGCATTAAAAGGCGATTATCCTTTTATTTGTAAAAAGATCCAATTTGTTCAGTCATGACATTTGAGCCACAAATCTAACAGCAACGAAATTTTAATGTCAGCTGTGATGTGTAATAGCAAGCGTTTGACTGGTTAAGTTATAGTTCACCAACCAAGAGAGATATTTCTCTCATTTTCTTAATGACACAAAAATCTCAGGCGATCTCTGGTGAATTTAACTACCAAATCCCTGCCAAGTCTGATGTAGCTAGTAATAATTTTTTTATTACTGCTCAGAGTTCCAAAATAAACTTAAACTCAGAAGGCGATGGAAGCAGGATCAGCTGGCACTGAATTTATTTGCATGAGAAATTCTTGCTGTGTTTACAGAAAACAGCCAGGGCCAGGGGTTCTCAGGTTCGGCTGGGCAGGGGTAGACTTGTCGTCCTGGGGGCATCCTTATATCGGGGCTGATGTGCGGCATGCCGGGATACAGCAAGCAGCATCTCTGCAAAGGGTCCTCACCTGGGCTCCTGCCTTGTAAAGGCAACAGACATGCGGACACACACAGATGCATGGATGCACACAACACACACGCATGCATGCACAAATACACACATGCAACAGACATACAGGCACACACACATGTAGACACACACGCAACACACCCCGTACAAGGCCAGACACACATCCAACAAACAGATGTACCGATATACAGACACATGTAATACACGTACGTGGTCCCACAAACGTACCCACAGATAGGTACACATACAGACCTACACATACACACCCAGATGCACACAACACCCAGAGAAACACACGTGTGCACCCCCCGCACACATAAACACAGACCCACACCTGCAGTGAACACACACACAGATACACATACAACACATGCACACTCAGAGACACCCCCAGACGCCCACACATAGACAATACACATCCCCGAGTCCGTGGAATTCTGGAGTTCTGTACAAATGGGAGTGGATAGAATTAAGATCACAAATGGGTCCTTCAGCCTCTTCAGGAGAGTGACAAGGGACAAGAGAGTCATCTGCTCTCGGCGCCTTGAGGGAGAACAGGTGCTCGCAGGCAGGGCACGGCCAGGCAATCGGCACAAGCACAGGGAAGGTGTGTGCAGAATCTTGCAGACTCGCTGCCGAACTGGGTGGAGGGGTCACATGCACTGGTGGCGAGTTTGTGGAGAAACTGGTGTGGGTTGGCTCAGCTGTCTTGGAAAAGTCCAAAGCTATGAATAGAGAGCCAACAATACCTGTGCAGTGATGCAACGACGACCCAGCTCGGTGCGCACCAGCTGTGTGACCTTGGGCAAGTCGCTCAGCTTCTCTGTGCTCGGCTTCCCTGCCCATAACATGAGAGGCAGGACGGTGCCTCCTCCACAGGCTGCTGTGCAGATGAAAACTGCATAGAGGAGTGTCTGGAGCCTGGGAACCTTTTGCTGTTATTATTTTATCCCCTGATTCTACAGCCGGCATTTATCCTAGGAGACTAATCCAAACACGATTTGCACAAAGCTGTGCACTGCAGCGTGAGTTACAACGGCCAAAGGGAAATCAACTTAGAGTTCATCAGTGTAGACGGTAGAATGGATTTCGAGCCACATCCCTTTTATGGACTGTTACTTACCCAGCAGGCGAGGTGCTTACCAAGACCCCCAGCACCACGGGAAGTGACGGCTCAGGAGAGGGTAAGTGACAAGTCAGCAGGAAAATGTCACTATCCTACCACTGTGACCAGAGAAGCAATTATGTATGAGTGTGTGTGTACACGCGGGTCTATGTATGGTCTTGCGCGTATGTGTGTGTCTGGGTGGGCGGGTCTATGTGTGGCTTTGTGTGTGTGAGTGTGTACATGTGTCTGTGCGTGCACCTCTATGCACGTGTGTGCATCTGTGTGTGATTTTGCGCATGTGTGTGTGAGTGTGCGTGTGTTACTTGGAGCCTCGTTCCATGCTCCTCTGCTTGGTGGGGGGGACTGGGTGCTGGGAGGGGGCCCCTCTGCCACCCCCAGAGCGTCCCCCTTTCCTCCGGGCTCCTCTGGCCCCACTGGTAGCCGACCTACACCCATGGTCCCTCCGTGTCCACCAGACACACTGGCCCGGATCTGGACTCCCCTCGGGGGACGGGGTGCAAACCCTTGCATGAGCTCCACGGCCCCTGGAAGACGCGAGCCACGTGCGCCAAGGGGCTGCACTGCCCTCCCCGAGGCGGGGGTCCATAAGACGCAGCCAAGATGCTCCACAGCTGCACCCTGCTAGCAGCTCGGAGCCACGAGGAGACGGGGACAAACACACCACTGCTCACGGGTCCCGTTTTGACCTCCTTCAGACCCGGGAAATAGCTCCATTTCAGTGACATGGTTTGCGCATGCGGCCAGCCACCCCCAGCATGCAGGACCCCTGGGCCCACACCAGGCCTGAGAGCCCTTCACTCCCCTTTCCACGTGCGGGGGGAGCCGTCTTTCTCCTTCTGTCAAGGCTGAGATACGCCCCTCCAGCAATCCAAGCCTTCTTTTCACTCCTTTTTCTTCCTTGAACTTCAAGGATAATGAACGGTAGGGAAATTTCCTAAAGGAAATCTTCACATGCCAGCCTCTCCCCGGCTAATTTCCCACCCGGGCTCCAGGGCGGGTGTGCGAGCTGCGTCCTTCAGGAGGGCAGCGGCTCCGCGCCCAGGTCCGAGGGAAACGAGAAATCCCAGAGCGGTTTTCAGAAGAGCCCCTTCCAGGCCCACGCTGTCCCCGGGGATGCAGTTTCCCAGCCTGGGGTCAGGGTCTCGAGGTGTGCAGGGTGAAGGGCTCCATCAGAGGGTGGCCAGGAGCCTTTTCTGCAGGCACCGCGGGGTCTGCTCTCGCGGGGAGGTTGTGTGAAGACCCCTCCCTGAGAAGAGGGAGAGGAGGGCTGTCCTCTGGATATAACAGCCTTGGAAGCAAGGACCTCGCGGCTGGCCCTGCGGTCCTGTTCCTCCTGAGCCCCCAGCTCGAGGCCCGAGTGGAGCAGGCTGCTGGGAGCGCTGGGGACTGTGGTGCTGCCCCTCCGGGGGACCAGTGGCAGCTCAGCTCCAGTGGATCATCACCAGGTAGAAATGGGGGCCTGGGTTTTCCAGAATCTTCTGCCTTTCAGAGAGTAGATATCAATTTCACGTGAAATCTCTTAAGTGTAAACATTGGTTCCAATTTCAAAACATACATGGTACAATCGAGGCAACACACTGTAACTCAGAGGCGGCGTTTTCTAGAACCTGAAGGACGCGGTCACGCCACTCTTGGCTCCCCGGGTGCCGTGCACACTGAGATGGGAGATTCAGAGTGACTTCTCTCCCCAAGAAGAGGGGCCGGGGGTCTGGGGGCCGTCCTGAAACATCACAGGCAAGGCGGTGAGTCCCGGCACGGAGCCTGCTGAGGGCCAGGCAGGCTCTGGGGAGGCGCTGGCCGGCTTCCTCTCTTCCCCGAGGGACACACCACATCTGATTTCCGGGGAGCCTTGGCTGGGCGTGGTCAACGCCATCACACGGGCCAGCTGGCATCAGCCCCGCAGGCAGCCTTGAGAGGCCCTTGCCGGGACTCTGCTTCCCTGCGGGCTGCACTCATGCCCGTCGAGGACGCAATTCGGGGACTGGCTGTGGTGTCGGCTCCGCGTGGAGCTGAGGAATGCTTGTGATTGTCACACGCAGCATCGGCTCCAAACTGCCACCATGGTCTCATCTCAACGTGGTTGTGTGCCGGCTCCATCCCCACGGGGACACCCTCCTGGCAGATGCCCAGCAAGGCTTAGGACCTTCCAATCCTGGCGCAGGGCTCTGCAGAGGCCCTGTTCTGGACGTTGGCCATTTTTGGTTACCCAGTGTGTTCATTTCCCGTGGCTGCGAAAAGACCATAAACAGACTCCAGACAAGACATATGTGTCCTCTCACAGCTCTTGAAGCCAGAAGTCCGAGGTGTGTCGGACTGGGCCGCGCTCTCTCTGGAGGCTCCAGGGGAGGGTCCTTCCTGCCTCTTCCAGCTGCTGGGGGCCCCAGGTGTCCCTTGGCTTCTGGCTGCATCCCTCCCGTCTCTGACTTGAGTGGTGTGGCCTTTCCTCTTCTGTGTGTGTCTCTCCTAAGGACACTCATGACGGCATTCAGGGCCCAGCCTGGTGATCCAAGGTAATCTCCCCGTCACAAGATCCTAATTGCAACTGCAAAGATCCTTTCCCCAGTGAGGTCGCCTTCGTGGGCTCTGGGGGTCAGGACGTGGACACGGCTGTCTGCTGCACCCAGCCTTCCATCTCAAACACCCCAACATCTTTTAGGGAGACCGCCTCTCTCCTTGCACATACTCCCTGTGGGACGGTGAGTCCCCAGACCCTCCCCTCGGTGAAGGTCAGCGAGTCATTGGAGGACCCCTTCTCCCATCTGCTTCCAGGAAAGATGGGGGCAGGGGTTTGCGGCCCAAGTTCAGCCATTGCCTCTTCTGTTCCGGGGACTGACTGAGGTGGAGGGACACCCGTCCGCAATGTGGGGGAGACGTCTGGCTTTCCTGCTGGGTCCTCCCCAGAGCCGCTTCAGCTCATGTTAGCTGGCGCCCTTCTCTGTTGCTAGAATCCTTCTGGTCCCGGCTCAGAGATGCTAATTTAACTGGCATGGTAAGCAGCTTGGGCATTGGAATTATTGCTTTTTTGTATGTTTTGAAATTCACTTTAAAAATCAACTCAACAAGGTTAAATTTACACGCAACAGGACACATCCCTTGAAAGTGTGTGGTCCGAGTGGTCTGACGGAGGGAACGCCGGGTAACCCCGTCCCAGTCCAGACGGAGAATGCGCCCATCCAGGGCTCCTCGGCCCTCCACCAGGGGACTGCGTTCTCTGGGCTTCTCTGTGCATCAGATCACACACTACGCGTTCTTTTGTATCTGGCTCTTTCGCCTCTGTTTCACCATTTTGAGTTTCACCCGCATTGTTACGGGCATAACCGTTTATTCCCTTTTAGTTCTGAGAAGTCTCCTGTTACACAGATAGGTTATGCTTCGTTTATCTAGTCACCTGTTGGTGGACATTTGGGTCCAATTCGGGACTATTGTGAATAAAGCTGCCACCACAAACAAACATTCGCGGCTGTCTTTTGTAGACGTGCGTTTTCATTTCTTTTGGGAAGGTACCTGGAGTAGAGCAGCTGGTCATACAGGAAGTGTTTCTACCTCTTTGAGAAACTGCCAGTTTTACAAAGTGGTCTTGCCTATGCCTTCTCCCACCGGCCGCGCTGAGAGTTCCCACTACTCCGTGTCACCAGCCCCCGCTGCCACTGGTCTGTCTGTCCATTCTAGCAGGCGTGCAGGGCCCGTCACTGGGACACTGTGTGACTCCGTGGTGGGCGTTTCTCGATGAGTGCGTTAGCATTTTGTCTACCTTCCTGTGTGCAGTATCTGTTCAAGGCCTTTGCCCATTTTTTATTTGGGTTTTGGGCATCAGGGTTTTCAAATGCTCTCCAGGTAATAGTAATAAGGAACAAAGTTTGAAACAACACAGTCTGGCCAGAGCATCCTTCCTGCAGCTCGGGGCATCCAGGCTGCTCTGAGACTTAATTTCTCGCTGGACGGCTCTTTGCTAATGGAGGGTAGGTGCCCGGAAGCCCCCGTAAGACACTCCTAGGGGAAGAGAGAGCTTTCAGAGGTGCAATGAGGGATGGTCTTGGTCACTTGCGGGAAGAGTGGCTTGTTGCAGCAGGGACACATCAGTTTGTACAGATGAGGCAGGAGGGGTGCCAGCCCGAGGCCCTAAAATCCAAACCTCTACAGGGGGATACCTGGCCAAGGCTCCAAGGGGTCAACAGATCCTGCAGATGCACATTCACTCCAGGAAAAAAATACCTCCATCCTGCTGGGCCCCCAGGATAAAGTGGTAGCCCCACTAGATTTTGAAACATAGATTTCCCAGGGGCTCGGCAGACTAGGGAAGTGGAAGGAAGGGCTGCCTTCCCATTTTTATAAAGATGCTGGGCTGTGGTTTTTTTAAAAAAATTTATTTTATTTATTTATTTGTGGTTGCGTTGGGTCTTCACTGCTGCACATGGGCTTTCTTCTCTAGTTGCGTCGAGCCGGGGCTACTCTTCGTTGCGGTGCGCGGGCTTCTCATTGCAGTGGCTCCTCTTGTTGTGGAGCACGGGCTCTAGGCGTACGGGCTTCAGTAGTTGTGGCGCACGGGCTTCGTTGCTCTGCAGCATGTGGGATCTTCCTGGACCAGGGCTTGAACCCGTGTCCCTTGCATTGGCAGGTAGATTCCCAACCACTGTGCCACCAGGGAAGCCCTGGGTTGTGTATTATTTTTTAATATTTTATTTATTTATTTATTTATTTGGTTGTGCCGGGTCTTAGTTGCAGCAGGCAGGCTCCTTAGTTGTGGCATGCATGTGGGATCTAGTTCCCAGACCAGGGATTGAACTTGGGCCCCCTGCATTGGGAGCATGGACTCTTAACCACTGCACCACAAGGGAAGTCCCTGGGTTGTGTATTTTTAACATGTGAAAATCTCTGTTTTCATGTTTGGGAACCGATTCAAAATAAAATAAATGCTTTGCAGGACAATCTCTGGGGTCTGCTGAAACGCCTGGGGTCTCTGTAGCACACACAGCATCTGTGGTCTCCAGGTCTCTGCTCTGCTCCCCGGCTCGTGTTTTTGACTCTTGTGGTGCTGTCTCTGCCTCTGTCTGTCTGTGTGTCTGTCTCTGTCTCCTTTCCCTCCCTCTCTCCATCTCTGCACCTCTCGTCCTCTCTACTCCATGACGCCTTCCCAGTTTTGTCTCTTGGTCTCCCTGCCCCCTACCCTGACTCTGTCTTCCTCTGTTCATCTCTCTTTCTTGTTCCCTCTCACTTTCCTTGGTGAGTCCCCTGTTCTGCTCTCTCCACGTCTGTGTTCCTTTTCTCAGTCTCTTTTACTGGCTCTTTCTCTCTGGGTGTTAGCTCTGTCTGTCTGTCTGTCTGTCTCCCTCCCTCTCCCTCCCCCCCCCCCCCTCCCTCTCTCTCCCTCTCTCTCCCCCCCGCCCCCGCGCGACTCGTCATCTCTCAGGTCACAAACTGGAGCCACTCCCAAGTTTCCCCATCACATCACCACGTCCCTCTGCACATCTGGGCTGGCGCTGCATCCCACCAACATTTGCTTCCCCAAATGGTGCCAGGCCCTGGCTTTCTGCAGAAGAGCACCCCCGTCCCTCCAGCCCCCAAGCCCCCCGTGGCAGCCCTGCCCCACCGCCACCTCACGCTGTCCTGGCTCCTTCCAGGGCAGGCCCTGCCCCAGGGGCCCCGGGGGTCGGCTCACCTGATGGGCGCTGCCTCGTCACCACGGTCCAGCCAGTCCTGGGGCGGGATAATGTACATGCACCAGAGGCCCCAGTTGTAGCCGTGGGCCGCACTGGCGTACTGCTGCACCTCAAATGTGTCGTACTTGATGTTGTCGATGGCCGGCAGGACGATGCGCCGGCGATCCTCCCGGATCCGCGAGAGGGCGGGCTCGGCCCTGCGGGGCGGTGCATGCCCATGAGGAAGGGCATGGATGCCGGGACCCCCCGCCCCATTCCCCCAGGTGGCGGGGCTGGAGCCAGGCCTCCCCCAAGGAGGCAGCCACACCCGGGTCTGATGGCGCCTGCGGACGGCGGATCCAAGAGCTTCACCCCTGGAAGCCCCGGGGTCGCCTGGGCTGCAGACCCGCCTTCCGAGGTCTCGCCCTTCCCGGGCCAGCCCGTGGCTAAGGACTGATGGACACCAGGGTTACGGGCACACGGATTGGGCCCAATCTCTGACGCCTCTATGGGTCCGTCCTGGCTCCAGAGGCCCTGTGGGTCAGCTCAGTCTGTCCCTTCACAGCTCGGCCTCCCCCTCCAGCGCATCCCACTTCCCGGCCCTCCTTCCCTGCACAGGTGGCCATACATTCATTTACAAGAATGAATTGAGGACCTGTTATGTGCCACACCCTGTTTTAACACACTGGAGTACATTCACGAACTAGAAAAGAAAAAAAATCCATGCCTCAGGGAACTTAGGATACACTGAAGGGACAGAAAGGCTACCAGGTACTGTTGTGCAGTGCGTAACCTACACAACAGTATGTGGTGGCCCTGACTGGGTGGGGGTCAGGGGACAGACAATAATGTATAAATAAATGATATATTAGGAGGTGATAGCTGTTGTGGTGGAAAAAGAGAGCAAGTAAGGGCGATATGGAATTGCACTTATAAATAGGGTGCCTGGTGTACGTTGCCCTGGGTGGTGAACAGAAGGAGGTGTAGGATGTAGCAGGTGGTTGGGAGAGCTGGTCGGGGGGGCGTTCCATGCAGAGGGAGCAGCCAGTGCTGAGCTCCCGGGATGTGCTGGTGCACTTGGGGAGCGGGCCAGGGGCCTGGAGTGGAGAGACGGGGGCAGTGTAGGCAATGAAGCCGGGGAAGAGAGGGACCAGAGGACAGAGCTGTCGGTTGCGGATTCTCCTTGCAGGAGTCCAAGAGGCAAGCGGGTGCAGCTTGACCCCAGAGACGGCCTTGTCTACCGCAAGGGTGAGATGCTGCCTGAGGGCCTGTCACCGAACTGGAGTTCAACGTGGTCGTGAGCAGCCCACTGACGGGGCAGCCAGAGAGACGAACGCTACAGGGGGCCAGGGGGCCAAGCTCAGGCAGGGACAGCGGGGGCAGGGTGGGGCTGGGGCAGTTCTCTGACCCTGCCTGGCGAGAGTCGCCACGTGGCCCACTTTCCTTCCTGTGCTTCCAAGCCAGAGCCTGGTATTTACCTGCCTTTCAGCTTCATGAGGAGGCTTAATTAATTACTGTTAGCAGAGTGCTTCAGAAGAGAAAAGCTCTCTGCAAATGCCACATCTGCTAATAAGGCAGGATCTTTGCGGAGGCAATTCTTGGAGGGAAGGGCTATTTGCAGATGGATAACTGGGTTTTCAGTTGTGAAAATTAAAGTTGCATTTTGATGTGGTAGACTTGTGATTCTCCCAAACGCCCTCCAAGTGCTCCAGGGAGTTTAATGTATATTAGAGGGACAGAAAGGCCTCCAAGTACACCTGTGCAGTGCACAACCTGCACAACAGTATGGAGTGACCCTGGTGGGGAGGGCAGACCATAACACGTCATTAACGATAGAACGTGACAGGTGTCATGGGAAAACAAGACTTGCTTCATGAGGGCGGCAGAGGAGAGGGAAGTGGGGGCCAGCAGGGGAAGCCAAAGCAGAAAGACGTCGAGTCTCGGTCAGGAACGTACTGGGACAGAAGCAGTGCTGAGAACAAACTCGTGGTCCTGGGGTGACTGAGATGCCACAGCGAGAGTGGAGGGAACGTGGAGGAGGGGGCTCCACTCACCTGCCGACCAGGCACCAAAGCCCCGGTCCAACCAGCAGGAGCTGTTAGGAAAACCAAGAACCTTGAGAGACCCCGAAGGCCAGACCCTCGTGGCCCCCAGCTGGGGATACTGGCCAGGCACTGTGGGACTTGATCGCACGTCCACCACGAACGCCTCCTTACAGCGTTCACAGCCCTCGCATTTCCCCCAAGGGGGTATCTCAGTGAACGTCTTAGTTTAGGCTTCACAGAGTTCGAAGGTGTAATGTGGGCGATTTGATATAAAAACGGTGAGGTTTAGTTTCTCTTGAAACAGGGCAAGCTGCCCACCCACCCCGGGGCTAACCTTTCCCTGCAGCTCATCTGGTGGGTGCTCAGGCTGCCCCTGGGCGTAGGGCCCATACTCCCTGCCCATGTGGACCCCCTGCAGACCCTTCCATTGTGGGTTTAACTTAAGGATCTCGAGATGGGATCATCCTGGGTGACCTGGGAGGCACTGGCAAGGGTACTTAGGAGAGAGAAGGGGAGAGACACAGTCACACAGAGAGGAGAAGCCGTGTGAAGACGGAGGTAGAGATTGGAGGGACGTGGCCGCAAACCAAGGGACTCCTGGAGCCCCCAGAACCTGGGAGAGGGTTGAGCGGTGTCTTCCCACAAAGATTTGTCCATCTGGAACCTGGGAGGGGACCTTATGTGGAAATAGAGTCTTGGCAGATGTAATTCAGTTAAAAAGCCCAAGATGAGATCAGCCTGGATTGGGCTGGGCCCTGAACGCAAGGCGTCTCCTTCTAAGAGAAAAGGAGAGGGAGGTTTGAGACGCGGACACAGAGGAGAGGCAGCGTGATGACGGAGGCGGGGATGGAGGGACGTGGCCACAGCCCTGGGCCCCTGGAGCCCCCAGAGCTGGGAGGGTGGGAGGCTCCTCCTCTAGAGCTTCCGGGGTGGGGGGTGCAGGCCTGCACCCACCTTGACTTTGACTTCTGGCCTCAGAGCTGTGAGAGAATGAATTTCTGTGGTTTTGAGCCACCAGCCTTTGGTCATTCCTTATGACGGCCCCAGGACACTCACGCACTGGGTGACCCTCCCTTCACCCGCTCATGTCCCAGCCCGCTCCAACACAGGTGGTCCCCTGGGGTCCTGGTTTGCAGTCCCAGTTAGACACTTGCCTGACACCCGTGCACTGGAGCCGGCACCATCGGGTGCAGGGTGTGGCTTACAAGCATCACACGTGTAACCCTGGCAACAATCCCACTTTGTAACATCCCCACTCAGTACCGGAGGAAACTGAGGTCCCCGCCCCCAGCCAGGGGCTCAACCCCTCGCATCACGTTGGCGGGCCGGGCATCACGCCGCAATCCTGCACACGGGGAGCCTTCCCGCGGGATGTCACCCTCTGCCCACCCTGCCTGCTGCCATTTATTCCTGTCGCATCCACTGCAGGTCCTGGCGGGAGTGAGGGCTGCCGGGGGGTGGCGCATCCCAGATGCAGGCACCAGAGAGGAAAGAAAGGAAACATGCCAAGAGCCCAGAAAACTCTGAAGCACATCCTGCTGTTCTATCAACTCATCCTCAGGCACCTGCTGCGAGAACATCAGCTCACGGCTGGCCTAGGGACCACAGGGTCTGGAGAGAGGCCCCGTGTGGATGCCCGCCTCCCCTTTGGATGTGGATACTTTGCTGGACAGATGACTCTGTTCTTAAGGCCTCACTGGACACCTTTGGGCACAGCCTCATGAGAGTCCCGGGTGGGAGAGCACAGACCCCTGGGTCCCACCCAGAGAGCGTAGGTCACACAGAGCTGCATGTCCTGCAAGCTCTCGGGGGCTGAAGATGCTGCTGGCCTGGGGTCCACACTGAGTACTGAAGACCTGCAGGGCCCCTGCCTCCCCGGGGCAAACACAAATCCAGGGCAGGGGCCCCAGCCTTCCTGCGGGGCGGGCCCCGGGGCACCTCTAGATCATCTCGCGCAGATGCTCCTGTGTCACTGAGGTATCCCTGCTGCTCCTCTGGCCACATCCCCCTCCAGCTTTCTCATTAGAAGCCCACCTCACCCCTGCATGGATGGGTGGGAGAAAATGGGTGGACGCTTTGATCTAGAATTTTCCATAAGGATGAGAAATTGCTTCCAATTTGTGCCCTAGACTTAGGTCTCCATTAACTGAGACCCTACAGACCACGTGTTCATGCAGCAACTGCCCCCAACCTTTGTGTATTCCCCTGGCCTGAGGTCACATGAACAGCCTCATTTGACTGTCACCTGCTGGAATGACTGGCCAATTCAAATTCCTTTGGGGACAAGGTGGGGATACAGATCAATCTTCATATATGCGCATCACAAACAGGGTTCCGGGTCCAGGAGCTGGACATGGAGTGGCCACGTGGCTGGACTCAGCTGCCCCCGGCCCTGCCAGGCTCATCCTCTTTGCAGGGGTCCTGCAGGCGCCAGCAGACCCCGCCGACCCCGCCCAGGGCCCAGCCCCGCCCTTACCAGCCCATGCTGAACTCCACGTGGGCGTCAAAGAAGCCCACGACAGGGGCCGTGGCGACCTTCCAGCCCTGCAGCCGAGCCCGGATCAGGCCTTCTCTCCTGCTGTTTCGGACAATTTTCACAAGGCCAGGGTACCTCTTGCTGACGTACTGGTCCAGGTTGAGCTTGAGTTCCACTGCGGGGAACACAGAGATGTTTCGGGCGTAACACCTCAGGAGGGCCTGAAGTCACCGAGACCCACGGTCGTTGTGTGCCCTGGATCCATATTTCATAAACATTTAAGAGGACCCACCGTTGCTGGATGTGGGTTAGGGGTGCTGGGGGTGACCTCGGAGAGATAAGAGCCCACCTCACGGAACTGCATTCCAGCGGGAGAGGCAATGAACAATCAAGCCAGACTGATTCAGACAGAGGCACGTGTTATAAAGACAGGAGAAAATGGGGCTGAATTACTCAGCTGTAGGAAGGAAGGCAGTCCATGGACAGATGGATGGATAAACAAAGTGTGGTCCATCCATACAATGGAACACGATCCAGCCTGAGAAAGGAGGAAATTCTCACACATGTTATTACACGGAGAAACGAGGACATTACGCTCAGTGAAATAATCCAGTAGCCAAATGACAAATCCTGTGTGATTCCACTTATATGAGGTCCCTAGAGCAGACAAACCCACAGAGACAGAAAGCAGGGTGTTGGGCGCCAGGGGCTGGGGGAGGGTGGTGGGGAGTTAGTGGGTTTTTTGGGGGTTTTTTTGTTTTTTTGCGGTATGCGGGCTTCTCACTGTTGTGGCCTCTCCCGTTGCGGAGCACAGCCTCTGGGGAGTTAGTGTTTAATGGGGACAGAGTTTCACTTTGGGAAAGTGAAAATGTTCTGGAGATGATGATGGTGATAGTTTCACAATGATGTGAATGTACTTAATACCCCTGAACTCTACACTTATTTTGTAAATGGTTAATTTTATGTTATGAGAATTTCAACTCAGTAAATTATCAAAAAGCTGATGAGGGCGCGGGCGTCTACGTGAGGAAGCTCCCAATGGCCAAAAGCGCAAAGCAGCAAAGTGAGTCACAGTAGCAACAGACTTCAGCTGGTAGGAAAAAGGGAAAGGGGAAAAGCGAGTGGGCATCTGGGTGAGGCGGGAGCTCCTCCGGGTCAGCTGGGCAGGTGCAGGGGCGGCCTGTCTCCATCCCTCCCCCTCAGTCACCAGGCTCCAGTGGACGCTCCTGTGAGGGCAGCCCTGGTCCCAGGGGTGCCCCCAGCTGCAGCAGCCAGGGGCTCCTGGAGCAGCCTTCCTGTGCTCTGTCCTGCCGTCTCCAGGGCCCCGCAGGCCGGTGCTGGCCACCCACTCCCTGCTCCCTTGACGGTGTCAGGCGGGCCTCTCCCCCCGCCCCCGCGCGGCACGGAGCACGCGCAGGGCTGGAGCTCCTTCAGGCCGTGCCGGGGGCTCTGGGAGGCCTCGCCCCGCTCTCCCCCACCTGCCCCCCGACTCCCGAGGTTGGAAGGAGAGGCTGCTGTGACAGGAGGGACTGGGGACGAGGAGGGGCCGGTAGGCCCGGCTCAGCGCACCAGGGGCTCAGTGTGGGGACCGCAGACGGGGGCAGGCGGGGCACCTCCGGACCCCTGTTAGGGGCTCGGAGCCCCTGTGCCTGCTGGGTGTGGACAGCATGCTGGGCTGGACTGAGGCTGATGCAGGGCCACGCTAAGGGCCCAGGTTCCGGCCGTGAGTGCCAGTCCAGCTTCCTCACCAGCTAGGCTCCCACTGCAGCTTTGTCCAGGTGCCATTAGCATATGGGAGAACTCAACACGCTGGGGGCCTTCCTGGCTGGAGGAGTGATAGCACCCTGCCACAGCTCAGGTCCACCCAGAGCCTCAGAATGTGCCCTCAAGTGGAAGTAGGATCTTTGTGGCTATAACTAGTTCAGGATCTTGCGATGAAAACCTTCTGAGTTAGGGTGGGCCCTAAATGCAAGGACAAGTGTTCTTAGAAGAGGAGAGACACAGACACACCGGGAAGAGGCCTTGTGAAGGTGGAGTCAGAGATGGGAGGGATGTGGCCCCAAGCCCAGGACACCAGGGATGCCGGCAGCTGGGAGAAGCTGGGAGAGGCAGGAAGGACCCTCCCCTGGAGCCCCTGGAGCCCCTGGAGGGAGTGTGGCCCGACTCACAGCCCGAATTCAGACTTCTGGCCTCCAGGGCTCTGACGTGCTTCCCTCGCGGGGGGGGGGGGGGGGGGGGGGGGCGCCCCCCCTTTAAACTGTTATTTGATGCTGGGCACATAGTAAGCCTTTGTATATACTTTGTCTGTTGTTATCTATTAAGGTTTTTCTCTCTACTCTCAATTCTTGAGCTTCCTTATTTTTTTAAAGGAAAATAATATTGTTACTTGTTTTACGTAGTTGCACATAGTATCTAACTTCAGGATGATTTTTAAATGACAGTGATCATGATGACAGGAATCCTAAGTTTAGGGTTGATGGTGAGGGTCCCGCATTGGGGGGGGGGGGGGGGGCCGGGCTGGTCCCACTCACCGTTATCGCTGTTGTCGTCCACCAGGATGACCTCCCTGAGGAGCTGGGAGGGCGTGTGGTTGACCACGCTGTGGACGGAGCGCAGGATGACCGAGAGGGCTTCGTTGACAAAGATGAACACCACGGAGATCTGGGGCAGGTCGTCCGAGTAGGTCATCTGTCTGCACCTGCGGGAGAGACGGGGTTGGGGGCAGTGGTCCGTGTCGGGATGTGACGGGGAGGTGGGAGCCTGGTGCCCCCGCGGGATGCCCGCTGGGACCAGTTCTCAATCCTGCTCCCAGTGGAAGGGCGACAGCAATGCCACAGATGGAAAAGGATCGAGCACAGTGAGAGGAACAGCACGATGATGTTTGTCTCAGAAGCTCTGGACTTCAAGGGTCTGAGCCTGAGCCCTGCTGTCTCCTTGCAGAAAGGCAGGGAACTTGCACTTTAAGGGGTTAAAGTCCCACTGGGATCACACAGAGCATTCTTCCTTGTTGCCCTTGGAAGGCGTGGAAGAGAGATGAAAGGAATGGTAGTCATCTCGCGGTGCAGCCCAGTGGAGGGCCTGGGGGAGAGCCCAGCCCGGAGCCCATGTCAGCTCCCGAAGCCCAGCTCTACCTGAGTGCCAGGTGGTCACGGAGCAGGCGGCTGCTGGACACGTGGCATCTACTGGGTGGGTCCTGCGCTCGGCGGCCACTGTCCCCTGAAGTGGGGTCTAAGTAGACAGTGCTGGGCTGCCCAGGAGGGCAGAGCGCTAGTGCCAGACGATGCCTGCACGGGACAGCCTAATCGTGGCCTCCGCCCAACCTTAGCATCGAGGGCAAACTAGAAGGGTGAAGCATATTCTTCCAAAGGTCTTATCTTGGCTGTAGGGCTGTGGGAGGGGAAAAGATGGGGGGCAGGGAAAGCAAAATATTCCATGTTGGGTGTGGGATGAGGCCAGTGAGTGGCTGTTAATGTAATAATACAGTTCACAAAGGGGCAAAGGGAGCTCTCAAAACTAGAGAAATGGGAAAAAAGGAACAAAAAATAAAGTAAGACAGAAGGCACCCAATCAAGTACGTTGGCTGCTACAATAAATGCAAACAAACTTACTCTCTCCTTAAAATGCCAGAGGCTTTTCTTTCTTTCTTTCTTTTTTTAGAGGCTTTTCAATGAAGTTAGATAAATACACACTAAAAATACATACACACTAAAGCACACTTATATATGCACACATTCACTCAGTCACACACAGCTCTGCTGTGTGCAGTTTACAATAAACACAGTTCAAATAGAGTGATTTTTAATTTATTTATTTAATTAATTAATTTATTTATTTTTGGCTGCGTTGGGTCTTCGTTGCTGCGCGCAGGCCTTCTCTAGTTGCAGCGAGCGGGGGCTACTCTTCATTGCGGTGCACGTGCTTCGCATTGTGGTGGCTTCTCTTGTTGCGGAGCACGGGCTCTAGGCGCACGGGCTTCAGTAGTTGTGGCTCGTGGGCTCTAGGCGCACAGGCTTCAGTAGTTGTGGCACGCAGGCTTCAGTAGTTGTGGCAGGTGGGATCTAGCGTGCCGGCTCAGTAGTTGTGGTGCACGGGCTTAGTTGCTCGTGGCATGTGGGATCTTCCCGGACCAGGGCTCGAACCCGTGTTCCCTGCATCGGCAGGCGGATTCTCAACCACTGCGCCACCAGGGAAGCCCTCATCTCCTCTTCTAAGGACACCAGTCCTATGGGATGAGGACCCATCCTATGGCCTCATTTTACCTCAGTCACCTCTGTAAAGGCCCAGTCTCCACACACAGTCACATCCTGAGGTCCTGGGGTCAGGACTTCAACCTGTGCATTGGGGTCGGGGGACACAACTCAGCCCCTAACGAGACCCAAAGGCTAAGGAGGGCCCAGCCAGGCTAGGACCAGGGCCGTCCAGTGCGGCAGGAGTGTGTGGGCACGTCTCCCATGGGGCGATGCGCTGTCTCACTTTATTCTGTTCATCTACACGTAACAAATCACTCCCATTATAAACATGTGCAGCTTACAAATGGTTGTTTAAATTAGAAATCGTGCAATATATACGGCTCATTTTTGTCCAGCACAAATTTGCATAAAATAATCTGTTTTCCTTATAATATAATCCCCTTCTCAGTTGAAAAAAAAAATTGGTTGTGTTAAATATTAAGCAGAGGGAATTCCCTGGTGGTCCAGTGTTTAGAACTTGGTGCTTTCACTGCTGTGGCCCGGGTTCAATCCCTGGTGGGGGAATTAAGACCCCACAAGCCAAGCAGTGCAGGCCAAAAAAATAAAAATCAATCGGTAAATATTGAACAGACCGAAGGGGATGTTCCTCACACACAGGGAGGAATGACGTCAGTGAGGAAGTAAGAAACCCACGCCTAAAACCCCGTTGAAGACAAGGACGATTACCACCCTCCCCCTGAGCTTCTCTTTACAGCCTCTGACCCCAGGCACCTGGCCAGTAGCGCACTTGGACTTGACCTTAGGCCGGAGTCCTTCTGTCCTGCCTTTGCACCCGCACAAGCTCCGGTGGCCGCTGGGTGGGACTGTCCCACGATGCCCCTGCTTCCCTCCTCCAGGCAGGAGGTGCTGTGTTTCTGGGTTTCCTTCTGCACCTGAATCGGCCTCAGTTTCAGGGCTCAATGTCCTCCCCACCCTGCAGGGACTGTCCCTGTGCTGAAGCCCGGGAGGCACTCGGTGGGGCAGGGGAAACAAAACTGGCCGCCACACTGCAGCCCTGGAAGAAGTCGGTCTATGCGGAGTCAGAAGGTTCTGCTCTGTAATTGAAAGCCCTGCTCCTGTCCAACAGAAAATAAACCACGTTTATGGTGATTGGAAAGAATCAGAGTCCAGCAAGAGGGCGGCTCTGAGAGCTTGTAAACCTGGTGACGCAGGGTGGGCCCCAGGGGTGGGGCAGAGGCCGGGACGGAGGGACTCGGGCCCTGGGGCAGGAGGACCCCATCGCCCCCTCCCAGAGCCTCCGGAGGTGGAGGCTTAGCCACGTCTAATCCATCCAGACCAGGGTTTCCCGGTCTCAGCCCTGTGGACTTTTGGGGCTGGATAATTCGGATAATTCTCTGTTGTGGCGGTCGTCCTGTGTGTGATACAGTGCTTAGCAGCATCCTTGGCCCCCGCCCAGGTTGAGACAACCCAGAATGCCTCCACACATCTCCAAATGTGCCCCGGGGTGAAATCGCCCGGTGAGAAGCCCCGGTCTAGGATCTGGGGTATGGCCCTGGGGGTTCTGGGATTTGGCAACCATTCCAGCATCATGAGGCGCCCGGCACCCAGCCCAGTGTGCCCGGTGACTGATGTTAGCTGGAGTGCAACCCTCCCTAGGTCCCTTCCTCCCCCTGAAAATCAAACTCCAGCCGGAGTCCTGTCCATCCTGTCTCAGGCTGTGGATGTCTGCTGTGGTCCTGCTCAGTCTCTTCCTTGTCCCCCATAACATGTGTGGTTCACCTCCCCACTGTCACATTCTAAGTCACTGGGTGGAATCCCAGCCCCTGGATGAAGCGGGGGGACGTGACTGGGTCTGAGCCAGGCAGCTCAGCAATAGGCTCAGGAACAGACACACAGTCAGAGCCATGGAGAGGTTGGCTGGGGCCTTGGGGAGATAGGATGTGAGGCTGGAGCAGCTGCATCCATCTTGCGTCCAGTGGTCAGGATGAAGCCAATGAGGCCAATAGCAGAGCAGAGAGATGGTGAAATGCCAGGTCCAGATGATATCAACTGAGCCTCAAATCCAAGTCTACACGAAGCCAGTGCTTCCTCCAGACTTTGTAGTTGCAGGAATAATACATTCTCTCCCCGTCTCTCCCTTTTTCTCTCTTTTGCCAGCTTAAGCCAATTTGAAATGGATCTTCTGTCAGTCCTGATCCTGCACAGGTCGTGACATGTGCATGATGCAGGGACACACTTGTGAATGCCCCTCAGGAGGTGTCTGCCCAGTCAGCCGCACCCAAGAGTCCCAGACCAAGCCGAGAGGGGAAGACAGGGGACCAGTGGGTCCAGTGCTCACAGAGGTTAGTCTGGCCACTGCCTTGGCCATTGCACACCCTGTCTCAGGAAGTCCCCGTCCAGGCGAGCTGGGGGATTTCTCACATTGTTGGTAGAGATGACACCAGCTGCTTCATCCTAACCCTGTCCTTGTCTAGGACACAGACAGTCCCAGCTTGGGACCTCGGCTGCCTCGAGAGGAGGAGAGAGCCAACTGCCAACCTCCTCAGCTAAATTCTCAGCAAACCCCATTCTTTGAGACTTGGGTGTCCCCGCCATCCTGAGAGGCAAAGACTGAGCAAACTAAACACTGGAGGGGCTCTGAGAAGGAGCAGGAAAGCATCCTTGCCTTGCATGGTGCAAGGTGAGACACACAGACAGCCCAGGACACAGGAGGGGATGTCTGTAGGGGGCTCTGGGAACGATTCCTCTGTTCTTAAAGAGGGACAAGATGTAGGAACATATTTATTCTAGCCCTTTGGAAATTTGACCTGTGAAGACGTGACACTGAGAGCTATGGCAACCATACTGTGACCATGAGGAGATAAGCCCAATGCACTGAGCGTGGCAGAGCAGAGAGTTGGGAAGAGCCCAGGTCCCTGATGACGTCATTGAACCACCAATGAACAGCTCTGCACCCCCACCTCGACCTGTGGACTTCTCACTATCTGAGATCAGGAATCCCAGTATTGTTGCAGCCACTTCAGACTTGCTAGGTTTTTCATCTGAAAGCATTCTCGGCGGCACAGAACATCCATTCTTTTTAGGGGAATCCCACTCCTCCCTCGGAATGTCATCTAGCCCTTGTACCCTCAGACGTCACCTCACGACAATCCGAGATGGGTGCTGTGGCAGATCACACTTTCCAAAGATGCTGCAACGACAGCCCCCAAGTCCCCTGGGACTTTGCCACCCTCCCTTTGCACGACAGTGGGCTCTGCCGCCTCTCACCAACAGGACACAGGGAAGGGAAGCTACGTGCCTTCTGAGCTGAGTCACGAAGAGCAACAAGGCTTCGTGTGCTGGGACTTTGTTCTGGGGCCACGTGGCACCAGAGAGGCACAAGACGCTGCCCAGGCCGCCGCGCTGTGAGGAAGCCCAGGCCACACAGAGGGTCCACGTGTGGGTGCTCGGGTGGACCGTCCATCTGCTGCCACGCGTGTGCACGATGGCCCCCCCAGATGATTCCAGC